ACCCCTTAGCCCCCTTTTCAAGGTAGGACCACTGAGGCACAAAGAGCCAAAGTCAATTGCCTAGGTCATGCAGCTAAGAATTGGAGAGTTGGGACTCAAACCTCAAGTGGGGGGGCAGTAGGACTCCAGAGCCAGGTTCTCACCACCCTACCTCCCTGGTGTGTACTGTTCGTTGGCAGGAAGTGGAGCTACAACCTGTTTGCTGGCAGGTCTGGGAGAGATGGGGTTAGAGAATGTTTTCCGAATCTTTTGGAGCTATTTCCTCCATGGGACCTCCTGTTGGTCAAGCAAAGCTCCTGGGCTGCCAGTCAGAAGACCTTGGTGTTTGTCCAAGCCCTGACACTGAATTGCTAAGTGAACTGGGTCATGTCCTGGCCCTCTTTGAGCCCCTCTTTTTCCATCTGTAAAATGGGGGCTTGGCCTCACTGCACTTGTCATTCGCGTCTTGTCTGAAAAAAGTGCAGCTTCTCAGGACTGTGCTTCTCACCTCGGCCTTCTGTTCCTTCCTTTCCCACATCTTCTTCCGGCTCGCTCACAGCTCAGCTTTGGAGCTGGTCAGGGTCTGAGCCTCTGCACTGTTTTTTCCACCTCTTCTTTGTTGATGGCCTCTAGCTCGAGTCTCCTGATCTTGACATGCACATCACATCTCAGTCTCTGGGCATGGGGACACTTGAGAGTAGATATATTCCAATCAGAGGAGTCACCCTTCAGCCAGGCAAGATCACCTTGTCCAACCCCTCCTTGAGGACCAGGACCGAGGCCCTTTCCCACCCACTCTGAGCTTTGAGGGTTCCCTGGACATAGGGGCAAAATGTCATGGCTGCTTCTAAACCCCTCCAGGTGTCTGATCTGATGCCCTGGGGGAGGGAGTAGGGGGGCAGTGGAGAGAAAGAGCTGGGAGGCAGCCTCCCTCTTACCCCTCTGCCTTCTGTGTTGCTCTTTGCTCCACCTCCAGGTCAGGCCTGAGGTACCCAGGAGTCTTTGCAGCTCGACCCCACCCCAGATGCTCAGGCAGCCCCCTCCATGAAGGGTTCTGGAGGCGTGGGGAGCCACTGAGCGTCTCATCCAGGGGTCTCATGCCCAGACCTCACAAGAGTGCTTCCAATGGAGGGAAGGCTCTTCTACCAATCAGGCGGCACGGGATAATAGTGGTTGGACGAGGTCACCATTTAGGTCTTTCTCAGATTGACAGAGGCCAGGGAGGCAGAGTGCAACAGGGTTAAGGGCAAGACCTCCCCAGAGACAAACCCTTGCCACTTCCCCCCAGACCCGTGGGTTTCCTTCCTGTTGGCTTGTTTCGGGTCTGCCCACTAGAATGCAAGCTCTGTGATGACAGAGTTTCTATCCCTGGTGCCCAGCACCCAGTAAGTCAATTCAAGACAGAAAACGGAGATCAAGGGGCTCCCTGTGACTTCTTGCTGGCAGCCTTGTCTCCATAGGGTAGCCCTGTTGCTGCCCATTGCGCTCTCTGCGCTCCCAGGGTGTCCTTCCCTGGGCCAGCTACAGCCCCTGCCGTTCAACCCTGGGGCCGCCCCTCTGGCTCTCCCTCTGGCTCTTTAAGGCCTCTGCTAGTCCCGGTCCCCTTCCCTCTCCTCTGAGGGGAGGGCCCTGGGCCTCCAGGGATGACTTCAGTACCACCTGCCTCCAGGAGCAGGAAGGAGAATTGTTTAGAGGTTCCTAGTGTCATTAACAATGGTGAAGGAAGCCCCCAGATGCCTGGAAGTTCTGGGATTGCAGCCAAAGTCCAGCTTGCTGCTTGGGCTTGGAGCTGCAGCTGCCTGAGAAGCTCTGAGAGGGCTGGGGGTAGGCCCAGGGGATCCTCGCACCCAATGGCTTTGTACTTGCCTTCAGGACTTCCAGTTTGAACGACGTCTTACATGGGACCCCAGTATAAGACAGTGATCAAAGCAGAACTTTCACAATGAAGAGGGGCTGGGGTCTGCCTTGAAGCCTAAGCAACCCCCAGCGTTCCTTCCAGAAGCCATGAAACACAGGTTACAACAACCCGATCTGAGTTTTAGCCCCCTACTCTGTGTGAAGAGGGGCCCCTGAGGCTTAAGATCCCCCAGTGGCAGGGCTAGGAGGCACTCCCAGCAGTCCTGCCCCTGGGCCTGGGTCCCTTCCGCTTCCACCGCTGCTGGCAGGGGCAGTGGGGAGTGGGTAGCAGCCAGGCTGGGGGCAGGTAGACAGGGAGGTGTGCAGGCAGAGGGAGACAGACACAAGACAAGAGGGCAGACAGACAGATGGACAGGCAGCAGCTGGAGTTGGGTACCTGCTCTGCGGGGACTCAACGCCCTCTAGATATCAGGAAAAGCTTGGATGCAATTAACTGGGTTTGTTTGGTCCCCAGTGGGGGCTCTGTGCTCATGACCACCTTTAGGGGAGAAGATGATATGCTTTCTTTGGAGACGCTAAGCTTGAGTAGAGGGAGCCCTTTCGTCCTTACCCCTTTCTCTTAATAAAACAGCTCTTATTTTCATAAAGATCCAAGCCTTCCAGGAGATAGTTCACAGGAAAGAAATACAGAAGGTCAATAAACATATGAAAAATGGCTCCGGTTGATTCATAATTAAAGCAATATAAACTAGAGCAACAATCAGATAGATATCATTTTCCACCCATCAGAATGATGCCTTTTAGAACGTTTCATAATGTCTTCCGTTGGTGGGCCCCTGCCTGTGCAGCCTCTTGGGATGGGGCTTTGACAATATCTGTCAAAATCGTAAACACACAGACCCTGTTGTTGTTAGTTACTGTCATGTCAGCCCCCAACTCGTGGTGACCGCATGCACAATGGGATTGGACCATTGTGCTCCAGAGGGTTCTCACTGGCTGATTTTCAGAAGTAGATTGCCAGGCCTTTCTTCCACATATACCCTGTTGTTGTTGGGTGCCGTCGAGTCAATTCCAATTCATAGTGGCCCCATGCGACAGAGTAGAACTGCCCCATAGGGTTTCCTAGGCAGAAATCTTTATGAGAGCACATCACCCGGTCTTTCTCCTTCGGAGCCACTGATGGGTTCAAACCGCTGACCCTTCGGTTAGTGGCTGAACACTTAACCATTGCACCACCAGGGCTCCTTACATATACCCTAGAACTCTGATTCCATTCGCGGCACCTGCCCTGCAAACACATTGGCACATATGTGCAAAGAGGCCTGTCCAGGAATGCTCACTGCTGCATTGCTTAGAAAGGCAACCAGCTCCAAATGCTCAACGTGTATGAACCACACACAGAGGTGAAGAACTGAGGTAGATCTGCTCTGATGTGGGGACAGCCCCAAGGCCCGCTGCTCATTCAAAACGTAAATGCCAGAAGAGCATGTAGCATATTATCTCATTTGTATAAAAAACTGCAAACATACACACATACATAAACCAGATGTGTTCTGGGTCCCCCTTCCCCTCTCCAGGGGCATCTGTCTGGTCTCTGGGAGGGAAAGAGCTTCAGGCCTCCCGGCCTCCCACTGGGGTCTTGGGTCTCTGGAACCCACCACTCCCACATGGCCACCGGCCAGCCTCCAGCATGCGGGAGCCCCGTGGCTGTGGGCATGTCCCTCCTCACCTGCCCTCCTCTCCCTTGGTTCTCATGGTTTGTGCCCAGGTAGACCCAGTCAGAGGAAGTCTGCCTCCCCTGCCTGGGCGCCCTGGGTGCAGAGGCAGGGTGCACTCTGCTGAGGGTTTCTTCTTGGCTGGGGGGGACTGGATAAAGTCACCATGGGCCCGACTTTGGGGCCTTGCACCTCTCCCTGCCTCTCCCTAACCATGATGGAGGGTGGACCCCCGCCCCCTGCCGCAGCCCTGATGGGCCAAGTCAGAGACCCAGGAGCCAGAGCAGTTCTCACAGGCAGAGGAGCTTTATCTCTTCTCCTGAGTTGCTTACAGAGTAGCAGGGGAGAAGGCCTCAAACCCAGCCAACAAGATACAGCAGGAACAGAAGGTGCTGGGCCCAAGGCCTGGGCCTGGAAAGGGAGTCTGGCTCCACCCCCAGGCCTGGCTATATCTTCCTGGGGCTCCTACCCCTTGAAGAGGTGGATTTCCCAGTACCTCTCTGGGCCTTGCACCTTGCACATCCTTGGCTGTAGCTGATTGGGATGGCAGGAGGCCCTCTTAGCCTCAAGGAGGAGATAGAAGTGTCCATGGCGGAAGAGCTGTGTCCTGGAGGCCAAGAGCAAAGCCAGGATCACCCGGTGATGATAGGTGAGGATGCCCTGAAATGCCCCTTCCCTGGGGGTGGTCTGCACCTGGGCAGGTGTGTGTTGGAGGAGGTGTACATGTGCCTGGGTGGACACTCATGGGTGTCCATATATGCGTTTGTATGTGTGTGAGGGAACCTGTGTGTGTACGTGCCTTAGTATGCATTTATTTATGTGCTGGGGGGACAGGGGTTGATGATGTGAGCATTTTGCAACTTACACATTGTGTTACTAAACCCAGAGCAGCTCGTGAGGGAGGAGGGTGGGGACAGCATGTGTGTACCCTTTGTCTCTCCCTGGTCTAAGCCACCAGCGTGTGGATTGCAAAACATTCAAAGGGCTCAAGTCACAAGACCATGCAGACCAGTTCTCTCTTCCAGTCCTCTAATGCCTTGCCTGACCCTGCTCTACAGGACACCATCGGGGTCCCTCCTTAGTACGTCAGGCTGTGGCGTGAACACACAAGAGTGGCCTCTCCACTCTGCATTTCTGCTTGTCCTTATCACACCCTGAGCTTGTGCCTTCCCCACAGCAGAGTAACTGCACCAAGTCACTGTATACTTGCTATTTTTGGAGCCTGTATCTCTTTATTTAAACGTAAACACTGATCATTTTCTGTTTTGCAAGCCCACTCCCCTTTAAACACCCACAGATAGTCAGTTCCTTGATTGCTGGGATCTTATCTCTTAGTCATTACTCTCTCTCCAGTACTGCCTCTTCAGTAAATACTTGCTGAGCTTTTGAACCGAGAGCTGGGGTCACCTGGTGGACAGGGGTGAATGGTGCAGTGTGATCCCTAAGAAGTTTGAGGGGCCTATTCTCTTTGTGGTGTGTCCTGTGCCTAGGAAGCCCTGGTACCAACTCTGTGGCTATTCCTGGGGACTCTGTTCTTCCTAGAAATGGTGGACCGTGGATCCCGGTCCCAAGGTTCTGCCTCCCATCGGCGACAGAAGTTGGAACATAAGGCTGCTGGCTCGTCTGCAGTCCCACCTGCTTGGAATACGACTAGACCCAAGAAAGCGGTACTGTGTGGGGCCCTTGGCACTCGGTGGCGGAGTTGGGATTGGGAATACTGGCTGTAGGGGCTGCAGCCGGACCATGGTAGGTGGACCAGGGCCAGGTGTTGAGGTGGGGGGTAGGGAGGAAGCGCTGAAGTTCAGCTCTGGGAGTCCAGAATGCCGGAGGCATGCATTGCCTGGGGAGCATACATGGACTTTACTCTGTATAACTCTAGTGTGTGTGAAACGGCACTTTCTTTTATTTAAAAAACCAAAAAATAAAACAAACAAACCAACCAAAAAAAGCCCCAAAACTGAACTATATATCTCTCAGGGCCAGGAATAGGGTGAGGCAAGTGAGGTTCCTGTGCTCCTTGGCTGTTAGGAAATCCAGTCACGTGAGTCTCAACCTTCTGTAGCCAGTCTTTTAAGCTACATTTACTATGGGTGAGGGAAAAAAATGACAGTTACACTGTTGCAAAGGATACTGGGAAAAGGCAACCATTTTGGAGGAAAGGAGACCTGACGGTTCTAGCAAATGAGTTACAATAAATACTGACATGATCCCACCCCCAATGAAAAGAAAAGAAAAGAAAAAGGGCCCCCAAGTCGGAGAGAGTCTGTGAATGAAAATAAGTCAGAAAAATTGGCTTCCTGTGTCCACAGGCTGTAACCAAATCAAGTTGTTCCTGCAGATCAGGCTCCAGTATGCCACCCATGCCCCTGAGAACGAGGGGGATGTCACCACTGGGTTAATGAAATTTAGCTATTAGTAATACAGTTTTAAAAATTACAGACATTATATTGAATTTAGAAATTAAGAATGCTATTTAATTTATTAATTTTATCTATCAATATGAAAATAAAAGAATTAATGGAACTGTTAGTGCCCCTGGGAAAAGCACAGCATTCAAAAACAAAAAAGATAATAATACTATACTGTGGGTTTGAAAAAATAGTAGTGTGCCTTCAAAAGTACAGGGAAATAAAAACAGCATTTCTGGGAACAATTAGCAGAAGGAAATTGGCTCTTATTACTATTCATAGATTTTTCTTAATGCTGATCCCATTAATATAAAAGTTTTATGTTTTACAATGTATGCAATTCCAAATAGTGTCTAACATTAAAAATCAAAAAGGCAACAACTGTTACTGAACGGTTGGACCTTTCTCATTACGGGTGATTATAATAAAAGGCATCATCAATCTGGAGATATTGTTAAATGAATTCTCATTGTCTTGATATGTTAATAACAAACCTTGCTTCCTCAAAAGAAAACGAAGAAACAACAAAATCAGCCGTTAGTTACTTCCTGTGTACTTGCCTTCAAATCTTTTTTTTTTTTTCTCTTCTGATCCCAATCTATTGGAAAATCAAGGGATGTTCTGGAGATTTGTGTCTGACAGACTATTGATTAAGTTCCCCTTTACGGTGCTGGGTCTCCTTGACACCCACTGTGCTTTCACTGCTATTTCTGAACTATCTTCAGAAGAACAGGAAAATAACAAAGTAGGACTGTGAACTACTGTTCACAAAAAAGTCTCCCGATGTCTTTGCGCTCCTTAGGAGAAAGATGTGTTTTGCGTTATTGCAACAAACAGATCATGGTGGCATAGTCCCTGTGAAAACTCTTTATGCCAAAATAGTTCCACCTTGTGGTTTAATACTGTTACTTAAAACATCTCAGATGACAGGGGAGCCTGGGTTGCCTATGCATTTTTTAAGAAAGTCGGGTGGCGCAAATGGTTAAGCACTTGGCTGCTTATCAAAAAGTTGCGTTTTCAGGTTTGGGCTTAGGGGTAAGTGCTTGGCTGCTAGCCAGGTGGGGTGAGAAGGGTGAGCAGACCCTCCGTTAATGTCCCTGCTTCCTGCCTTGTTCTTTTACGGATTTGTACCGTTTAGATTTCTTTACTGTTACTTTAATGGAGTCTTAAGGGGCAGCAGTGTTCAATATGTACTGGCTAGGAGCACAATCTATGAAGCAAAATGTCTTGGGTTCAAATTACTGCTCTGCCACTTACCAGCTGTGTGACTTGGGCAAGTTACTTAACCTCTCTGTGTCTCAGTTTCCCCCATCTTTCAAAATGGGGGTAATAATGATGTTGTAATTAATACGTCAATGCAATTATTATAATTAATTAATAATAAATATTAAATAAAAAGTATTAATAACAATGTTTCATAGGGTTATGATGAGGATTAAATGATTTGATACTGGTAAGGATTTAGAACCTGGCATGGGCCCAGCATGTGGTAAGTGTGTGTTCAACCAGGAGCTGGAGAACGAGTCCTTCTTGACCTGGATCTAGAGTTCTTATTTGAACCCAGGGAGTCTGGCACTGGGAGCCACCTTCTGCTTCTGGGTCCCACACTGGCTCTTCAAAGGCACAACATACCCATGGCCTGAGCTTGAGCAAGAGACTTAAACTCAGGGGAACCGTTAGCAAATGGACACAAAACAAACAGCAGGTGATGGCTGGGCTCGCCCCAAGACGGAGCCTGTGGTTTCCTGGAAGCAAGGGTTCTACCCTCAGCTCCGGCATTTCCTGTGTGACCTTGGGAAGTGACATCACCTCAGCAAGCCTTGATTCCCTTGGCTGAAAGTCCAGGTTTTCCTTTCTCCTTCCTTAGATTGCTGAGACTCTTGGCTGATGGATGCCTGCCCCAGGTCACTGCTCCTCCACCTGGAAGGCCTGAGGAGTATGTGGGGGTGGGCTTCCCAGACTCTCCCAGCTGTCTGAAGCTGCCAGCCCTTGATTCCAGAGGCTCCAGGGCCACGTGACTCCCCACGGGGTGCACTGTTGGTCCCAGGAAACTCGTGGGGATGCTGCTGGACCCGGGCTGAGCAACCTCCTCTGACTGACCATTCCTGTCCTCAGGGGTCCCGAGGGGCGAAAGAGCCAGGCCACGGGGATGTGCGTGCCCAGGAGTTTCCTGGGGGCTTCCAAGGCATGCGGTTCCAGTATGAGCGGTAAGGAGGCTGCCCTGGCCCAGTGAGAGAAAAGCTGGAGCTTTGTAGGCCCTGGCTGCTCAGGCATGGACCAGAACAGGGCCGAGGGCCGGTGAGTTGACTGGCCAGAAAGAAGTTGTGAGCAGCTGACCAGTGTTTGGCATATGGGGCCTTTGGTGCCTCCTCACCTGATCCTGCATGTCCTGGCCCACTGCCCACTGGGGACTCTGCGGCTCCCCAGCGCTCAGGTCCCAGGGCTCCTTGCCAGGGAAGGGAATGACTGGGGGCTGAGAGAGTCACGTCCAGAGAAGTCCCTGACCTTACCCACTTGCCCTCACGGCCTTCCTGTGCTCTCTGCTAGGCCCTGCCTGGGAACACTAGCCACTCTGACCCTCTGTCTTTTCTTATTTGCTGGCAGCCCGGATGTAGATTTGATGGCAGAGATTGGCCTGGAAGAGCTCAATGGGCTGGAGATGGAAGTCATGAGAAGGCAGGTGAGCATCTGCCATGTGGGGGGTTCCAGGACGTGGTGGCTACTCAGCCTGTGGTGCCTTCTTCGACCAAGCCTGAGCCTCTTCCTACTCAGGGCTGGGAATGCAGGGGCAGCGGCCCCGTGGCTGCCTTGGCCCCTGAGTCGCCTTCCCCTGGGACCCTCGCTCTGAGACCCCAGGGGTGACAAGCCCTTCCCTGGCTCCCTGGACTCAGCTGGAAGGGGCTGGCTTCTTCCAGAGAACTTGAGTAACTCCAAGGGATGGGGGAGGAAGCTGGGTCTGCAGACACTGACACCCCAGCCCCTGGGCCCACCCCAGCCCCGGGCCTGACTGCCTTCTGGCTAGGCTGCCTGCCGCCTACCCAGAGGCACATTGACTTCCCAAAGAGTGTCAAAGCTTCTTTCAGTTCTGACCTCACTCCCCCCTATTGCTGTGTCGTGGGCTCTTGAGATGAGTCTTGCTTACCTGCCCAATCCTGGTCTCTTTGCAGCTGCGTGTCATCACCGAACGTCTGCAAGACCTGGAGGAACAGGCCTCCACCTGGCACTACCGGGAAACTCTGTTCTTCACCATCATGGTGTCAGGTTGCATGGCCAACCTGTGGCTGTGGATGCGCCGTTAACCCTTCACGCTGATGAGCACTGCTGAGCCTTTGCCTCTGTCCCCTGCTCTCCTTCTGTAGCTTGCCAGCCCTTGCCCACCCTCCTGCCACCCCCAGCAGCCCCAGGCAGTGTCAGGGCCACTTTTCAACTCTGGCTAGGCCCCCTGCCTGGGGGAGTCACAGCCTGGGAGCAGAGGAGGTTGGCTTCCAGAAGATCCAAGGAGGCTGAGATGGCACCTCTTCAGAGGGTGAGGAGGGGGCACCCATTCCCATGGCAACACCAGTGACAGGCAACATCTGGGAGCTGGGCCCTCACCAGTGTCGTAGGGTAGGCTGGGCTGGCCCCCTTGCCTCTGTTTCCTCAGTGTTCTTTTTGCTCTATCCTTCTGTGGGCCAAGCTTATCTCTGTATTCCTCTCTTGCTTCCTTCCACATGGAGCCCACAGCAATGCATGCAGAGCAATAAAAGTGCAGCAAGAGCAGCAAATCCTGGTGGCTGGCATTCTTGTGTGCTTGGTGCCATACCCTGGGACCAAGGAATCAATTCCATCTCTCTAGGGGCAAGGAGCCAGAAATTTCTCATTGGCTTTAGTGGCTAAATGGACCTTCCCCAACCTCCAACATCTCTCAAGGCTTCCCCATCTGGAGAGGAGAGTATGTGTCAGTTACTAGGTGTGAAATGAACTTGACCATCTGTGTGTGTGTGTGTGTGTGTGTGTGTGTGCGTGCGTGTGTGTGTGTGTGTGTGCTTGAGAAAGAGAGACAAAGAGTGACAGAGATATACAGAGACAAGAGACAGAGAGACACAGAGACAGACACAGAGAGAGTGTGAGAAAGGGCACACAGCTTCTGGGCCCAGAGAAGGTGGGCTGCTGAGGGAGGCGGGAGCCCTGGGTCCTTGAGCCGCCTCTGCCTCCCCAAGGAAGGCGCCACCCTCCTCTGGCTCTCAGTGTGCCCCTGTACAGTGAGAGAGTCCCTCCACTCCTGCCTCACACTCAGCTTCTGAGAAGAGGACGAGGGCCTCCTGCTAGCCCTGTGCGGCACTGTGCCATGGCCTCTGGAGCCTGAGCCTGCTGAAGGCAATGCCCTGGACACTTGGTGAAGAAATGCTGGGAGACCCCGTCTGGTCCCAGATCAGGCAGAGAGGGCAGGGGGTGGGGTGTGCAGAGGAAGTGCCTCTGTGGAATAGGGAAGGGACAGCCGCCCAGATACAAATGCTTCCAGTTAGGAGATCTGAGAGGGTCTGGGAGAACTGGCCCCCTCCAAACTGGCGTCGGGAACTGCAGGAATCCCTCAAGATCTGGGAAAAGCTGCAGATCCTCTTTACAGGCCACCCCTCCACTTCCCACAGTCTCAGGGCAGACCAGGGAGGGGAGGCAGGGAGATAGGGTGGCCCACCTATTCAGAGAGGGACAGCAAGTGTCCCTTCCAGCCACCAAGTTGGTGGATCCCTGCCCCGAGTGGCATGGAAGCCAAGCCAAGCAGAGCAGCTTAGAGTTAGGCACATGGCCCCCCAGGCTGCCCCTTTCTTCTGCTCCAACCCGGCTCCCCAGGGAAGCTGGAGGAAGAGAAGGCAGCTGGGGGGCGGAGCCAGGCCGGTCCTTTGGGGTTTGAGTGCAGGTGTGCACACGCAGACATCGACATGTTTGCAGAAAAAGTCTGGTTGAAAATATGTTGTGAAACAAAGTGCACCTTTGGGAGCAATTTAGCTGAGTTGCGAACAAACAACATGTAGGCCCCCTGAAGAAACACCTGAGCGAGGTGAGCTAAGATGGAACCCGAGCCTGGGTCCTGGCTGCCCCTCCATCCACCCTGCTGCTTATTTCTGGGGGGCTCTCAGCTGAGGTGGCAGTCAGTTCTGAGCCTATCTTTCATGCTACACCCCCAGCGCTACCTGTCCCCCCAAGAAGGACTCTAGAGACCCCTGTTCTCAATGGCAACCTTGAGGGGCATGGAGACCGACCTGCGGGGCTGGCACTTCTGACTTCTAATCCCCATGGAGACCCAAGGCAGCTTCCGAAAGGTCACAGCCTTGAAAACCCTATGGAGCAGTTCTACTCTGCACACGTGGGGTCGCCAGGAGTCAAGTCTACTGAATGGCACCATGTTTGATTTTGTTGGTTTGCCTCACAGAGGGATGGCCAACCTTGCCCTCTCTGTAAAAGTCAGTCAATTATAACCACTATTCTCTAGGGCACACCTACTACGTGCCATGTGCATTGCATTCTTAAAATAGTAAGTTGTACACATCAGGCAGGAATGCATTCTCTGGAAAAAGGCAAACATCACAGGTGTGGCTGATAAAAGCCCTTGCCCCCTTGTCAGTGTCCTTCCCCAAGGTAGCTCCCATGGTTGGCTCAGTGTGTATCCTTGCAGACTTTCTCTAAGCGATTACATGCAGCTGTGTACCTGTGTGCCTCCAGGATCTCATCTGAGCCTCCCCACTAGGCCCTCTGACAGAGGAGCTCATATTTCAAGCCGCTGTGCAGGGGGAAAATTGAGACCCGGAAGCCTCTGGACTCGCCCTGCCCCCCTGGGCTGGCCCCCAGCCTAGGCGGAAGCTGAAACACAATATCCCAGTTCTTTGGTCTCCACGTGGCTTCCTAACAGCTGAGGGCTGGGGTTCAGAAGAAGGTGGGCTTTGGGGAGGGGAAGAGAGGAGGCTCTGCTGCACCTGGAGAAGCCAGAAAGCCTGGCTCTTGAAAAGGAGCCAAAGCCTTGCCTATCCAGCCCCCTGGCCCTTTCCCCAGCCCCAGCCCCTCCTGGAGGCCAAGTCCAGACCTCAGAGGGGAAGGCATGGCTTTCCGACAGCCTGCCCCACGCCAGTACCACTTCTCTCTCCCAGCTTCTCCCTGGCCAGGTGGGCTGGCGTGATGGTGACCACAGCCGGGAGGCAGGTGCATGGGGGTGGGGAGCTGGCAGCTCTAAGTCCTTGGAGATGAGTGCTCCCTGCAAGGGATGGCTCCCCAGGGAGCTTGGGAGGGGCCAACGCCTGGGTCTGGAAAGCAGCTTCTCCAGCCCTGCAGCCCAGCATCCAGCCCTCACCCATGACAGCCTGGGGTGCGAGGGGCCACAGTGAGGGGGTCAGGCACCCAGTTGGCTAGTGGGTGGGTGGGTTCAGGCCGTGCCAGGCATGCACTCCCCTGGGCCCCTGCCAGCCTCCCCTGCTGACTGAGGGCAGGGTGGGGTGGCTTTCTGACTGGACAGACCCCTGCCGCTGCGGTGCTGATGAGCCCCAAGGGCTCATCTCTGATCGGAGGCTGCGTGGATGCTAACTGTGGCTAGGGGACACGCGGTCTCAGAAGCCATCTGATTGGTGAGAAAAGGGGCTGACACCTTCTTGTAGCCATGGGCCAGCTGGGTTTGGCGTGGGCCCTTGCGTGCGTGGTCTACCCAGGGAGCCGCAGGGACGTGGATGTGTGGGGATCCTCTGTTCCTTTTCTAGTCTTAGAGGCTCCAGGATGGCAGAGGCACTGAGTGCAACACTAGGCTTACCTGGAGGCAGCTGCGCCTTTGTAGTCTAGGAGGGTGGCAGGGCAGGTGGCTGGGAACAGAGGGGCAGAGGGGCTGCCTGGCCCCGAAGGGTCCAGTGGAGGGAAGGAGGGGTCTGTGGCCTTAGGGCCTGTACTCACCTACACTCCTGCCTGGCCCAGAGCATTCTGGGCTACCTGCATCCCAGGCACAGGCACAGGGGGTGCCAGTGGGCACACTAAGGCTGTCTGCTTATGAGGAGCAAAGGAGGTGGGGGAAGGGGGCTTTGGCCCTTCATGTTGCACCCTGGCCTCCTCAGGGGAACCTCGAGGGGGAGTGCCCACTCCTGGTCTCTCAGGCTTTGGGAGTCAACCCCTCTGCCATTTGTATCTGCAGCGAAGCCGTAGCTTCTGGCTGAGGGGAGACTCTGGGCTAGGTGGCTGGCCGGAGGCAAGGTCAACACCCCATTTTGGCTCCCCATATTAGCTTGAGCCCAGTTGAGCAAGTGTTGGCTGCGCCCATGTAGGGGGCAGCTAGTACGGATGTGACACGGTCCTTAGACCCCCTGCCCACCTGAGCCCTGAGGTTTGAGAGCATGAGCAGAGCCCCGTTGTCAAACAGAGGCCTCCGGATGGAGGAGGGGATGCTGAGTGCTTGGGCTGGGCACATTTGCTTTGACTTGAGCTCAAACTGTGGCTGACAGTTGGGCCTGAGTTGCCTCAGTGCCCTCAGAATGGCCAGGAGCAGCCCTGGCCACACCTCCACCGTGGGATGGCCCTGCAGACAGATGCACAGAGGGCACGGGAGAGTGAGAGGCACAGAGCTCAGAGGACAGTGAGATGGTGAGAAGTTCTGAGTGCCCGAGGGCAGAGTTTGGGATATATTATGTAGATGACTGACCCCTCTCTACCTCCAGCTCCGGGCTGCCTGCCCTCAACTTCTGCAGCTTTCCGTCTCCATAGCTGGAAGCTCAGGCCCGGGGCATGAGGGGTCGTAGCAGCTTCAGCTCACACTTAGAAGTTGGCCCCAAGTACTTGCTGTTCCTGGTGTGCATCTGACCTCAACACTCCTTTTGGCGCTCCTGCCCGACTTTCTAGCTGTACTCACCTTCCAGGCTGGCTCTGTGGCTGCGTGTGCTTAGGTGTGAAACTGTGCGATGGGAATTGTAATAGTACCAGCCTACGAAGGTTGCGGTGAGGAATAGATGAGCTACCTTGCCTTATAGGCTCAGTACATGGTTGCTGCTCAATGAACAAGAACCTACTCCTGCACCCCCAGGTTCTAGCTGCTTATCAGGGAAGCCTGGCCTCCTGGCCTTCCCTGGTGCTGTCTACTGCCTGCCCACCCACTCTACTTGCCTGCCTGCCCACTCAACTGCCCTGCCACCCATGGCGTGTATGACCATCTACTTGGCACCATTCTCTGCCTGCTGCCCAGGACTTTTTCCACTGCAATGGCCAACACTGAGCACTGGGGAACAAGTTTCTGGCTGACTCTTACAGTCTGCCTTTCTAGGCTATCAGCCATGGAAGACACGCCACTTCCCAATCACAGTGGAAAAACTTTGGCTTGACCTGGTACTAGCATGAACTTGAAACCAAGATCGGCAGGACTGTAAAAGACATTGGGACCTCTGGTCACCTGGAGGGTTCCATGAGCCCTCTGGGAAGGCTCACTTGGAGCTAGTCTCCCCTACTCACTGCTTCAGGCTCAATAGTTCCCTTTTCTGAGTTCTGCTTCGGAGCTTCCTCA